TTTCCGACCGTTCTGACACCACAGTTCTTCCACCACGCTCGGCGTCACCGTTATAACGGAGACTAACGGCAAATTAACAGTAAAAAACAAGAAAAGAAAGAAAAGAAGTGATAGTTGTCACGTTGTTCACCCGTGATACATATCGACGAGACAGTACAGCCAATGCCGGCCAATTTCTCGGGAGATATTGTCGGCGTAGCGCGAGAGAATCAAGCGGCGTACGATTCCAGCTTGATACGGTGTTTGATAGTGGGGCCTCGCGGTCTCGCCACGTGTGAGATGATCAAGGAGCGATTGTTGACACGTCTGACATATGGCTTGATAGTTGTGGGACCTTCTGGGGCTGGCTCGCATTTATTGGCTCCTTTCTTGTTAGCTTTGGTTTGAGCTTAACTCGGGTTGACATAGAGCAAACATCATGTGTGACAAACCAACTGGACTTTCTCCTCTTTAACTGAATCCTGACCAATAAAAAAAAAGGAAAATTAAATGTTTTTTTTACATGGAAAAAACATAAATGTTAGCCTCCGTTTGGGATTTTTGACTTTTTTGGCTTTTTTAGCCTGGGCTTAAAAGCTTGGTTTGGGAAGGACTTTTTGGCTTTTTTACTTTTTTGAGTTTTTTTGTGAGAGTAGAATGTAATGATTATGGGTTGGATGTGATATTTTGTTTGTTATGGCTAAAACAGCCTATTTTATTTTTTGTGACTAAAATAGCCAAAAAAGTCTGCAAACCCACTTGCCAAACACAGGTTTAGACACCTCAAATTTTTAAAGAAAAAATATAACAAAAATGTTTGGAAGCTCTAAAATAGGAACTCTAATTATGTTTATGCTTGTGTTTTTTTATTTTTTATTTTCCACGTCGCTATAGTTATGTTTAGAGCATCCACAATGGACACACTAACGTGTTTGTTAGTGTCAGTTGCCAAGTTTTGGCCAGCAGTGGTGTGTGTTTAGGGCTGCAATAGAGGTGTTAGTGTGTGTTAGTGAGTTTTGTTAGCGTCAGTTGTTAAGCTATTTGTTAACTGCGGCTAGTGTATTAGCTAACAAAGGGACACATTTTTTTGTCTTCCGGGTTGACCGGCCGGTTGACCCGGTCAACGGAATATTTTTTTTTTTTAACATGTTGGGATTTTTTTTTTTGAACTTGAAATTTAATTTTGGGCTTCAAATTTTTGATTAAACTAAATTATATATATATTTAACACACACCTTAACACACCGCTTAACAAATCCATTGCACCACTACTCACTCTTTAAAATTAACAAACTCGTAACACATCTTAACAAACATTTTTGAGCCCCACTTTTATCACTTTTTGTCATATAACACACTTTAACAAACAATTTTGACTATCCCATTGTGGATGCCCTTAGAGCCCCAGCTCTAGAGCTTTGAATCATTACCCAAAATATAAATAAAATAAAGATTGATAGCTCTAATTTTGAAACTTTAAAGAGAGCTTTAGTGATGTGGCAAGGAGAGGTCCACATGTGATATGATGTACGTGCTTATATTTTTATTTTATTTTTTTCTCTTACCAAATTATTAGAGTTCTTTTTAGAGTTTCAAAATTAGAATTTTTTATCATTGTTGATACAAATAAGTGGGACACAAAAAAAATAAGGGGTACTTACATGTAGGTCTTAATAAGTGAGCTTATTGTCAAATAAGTCTTATGGAAATATTTGTCATATAAAAACGTCACTAATTATAAATTTTAGCGATAATTTATAAAAATCATGACAAAAAAATCACTAATTGTCAATTTTTAGCAACGTAAGTAAAAAATTATCACAAAAAAATTATTTTTAGCGACAATTTTATCAAAACTTATTTTCAATAGAATTTGATGGGAATTAAATCTAACCATTAGGATCTATTAGTAATTTATCTAAAAAATAATTATACTATAGATAGAGTTTTTTATGGTATAACTCTTAACACATGGAAAAAAGTTGCACCAAATACAAAGAGAACTTGCATTATGCACACATGACATTTGCACCACCGTAAAAATACAAATATTCTTTCATTGTATTGCTGATTTGTAATTTTTCTAATTTTTATTATATAGGTTCCACATGGATGTGGATTCCCACACCCATGTGATGTGAGGGTTTCGTAGAAATTTTTGATAATTTTTTTTTTTTGGGGTAGCCCTAGCCTTGGTCAAAAGGAAAATTAATGAAAATTTTAAGGGAAATATCACATTAATGGATTTGTTAAAAAGTAATTATAAATTAATAATTTTTTTATAAATATTAAATAATTAAAATTATAAACTTTTTCATGATTATATATAATTACTCAAAATTTTATTTTTTGAGAGTGTGAATGACATTAGATTTAAAGATTGTTTATTTTGATGATAAAGACGTGATTGAGAAAATTATTTGGTGAAAAGAACAAAATATCATTATTTTAAAGATTTTTTGTAAATGATTTACTCAAAAAAATGGTTTTGAGTAAATCTCCCTCAAAAAAATGGTTTTGAGATTAACGGGCTCTCTGCTCCTTTTTTATAAATCTCTCTCTTAACCATTATTTTTTTTCACTTTGGCACTGTCAGGTGATTTGTGGCTGCTCGGTCTTTGGGAGCCTCAGGAATGGTCAGTGGTCCCCTTGGACTCTGCAGGAAAAGGAGGGCAAGTGAAAGAGGGAGCGCGGTCGCGCAAAGCGAGCTTAACTTTATCTCGGTCGTAGAGGCTAACCAAGGAGCTCTGCCGCCCAAGCAGACCAGATTTTAGCCCGGTTGAGCAGCCAAGACCTTAGTTATCCCGGTTCTTGCTATGGTTAAGTCTAACAGGTTATTTGCTTGGTCGGGATGGTTTTTTGGATCAAACGAAGACCTGGAGCCCGGTCCGCCCCAGTTCTTCGAAGTTCATTAGCGAAAATGAAGAACACCACGAGCAGTGGGAGGTTTGGGATGATTTCTATGGCCTATGTCCTAAGAACTACGTTTTATTGCCCTATTGTATGAAATATCAAGGAAAATAACAATAACAAGGGTTGGAGGGCTTACCAATATGGAGCAGTGGCTGCTTCTTCTTCGAGCGCGAGTTCAGGAATGGCAGAGGAGAGGCAAGAGCTCTGGGTTGCTTGGAATGGCAGTGAATCAGTAAGAGCTCAAGGAAGATGAGGGGGGAAATGTTTATAGAGGAGACAAGATCGCCCAAATTCAAATTCTGGCAAGACGGCGGGTTGGCTGCTCGAGAACCAATGGCAGCCCGCCACGCGTCCCCATTTATGACGACGTCAGAACTGAAGAGACAGGTTAAAGAGTTGAGTCAACCGGGCTACTTTTGAAGAAGAAGACGTCAACCGAGGAGTATAACTGGGCAAGTTTGCAGACAGGAATGTCAACTAGCCCGGTCGACATTTCGCATTCTAAGGACCGAGGAAGTGTTATCCCGGTTGAGATAAGTAATCCCAGTCACACTTTTGCAGACGGAATTAAGGGGCAATTGAGAGGGAGATTTATGATCTGAGATTGAGTTGTGACGTTAGCCGGACAGATTTGGGCCGAGGTATTGGGCTCCAAGATCGGGCCGTGATATTGCTCGGTAATGGCAAAGCCCACGTGGAACCGAGTTATCTGATCTCGGTTCCGCGAAAGCCGGACAGGTGAAGGCACAGCCTAGATGAGGCTCCCTAGTTCACGCGTTGCAAGGTTGTAATGCACGCACCTTAACCCGGTAGGAAGGCCTGTGCTTGGAGCTTGGCCGAGAAGGTCTTTGGCTGACCGGCGTTACCAATCTCCAGCTCAGCTTCGCCGGAATACAGTTGAGCACGGCTGGAATTAAGCCCGATAGGAGGAAACTACGACATCAACTGCACTTGGGCATGTTCGGTATGGCCGTTGATAGCCGAGACAATGTTGCCCGGCTGCTGTGCTCCCAGCAGAGTGGGCTGGCAGTTGGGTTAGGTGATGTATAGCAAGATTTGTGCTGATAGATGGGATAACAGAGCCACGTGTCGAGAGACCAATGGGAGTAGATTTGGGGCGCAAAAGGGTATATAAGCATGTCTGCGCCCCCCATACGCGACATAGGAACACTTTGTAAGGAAATTCTTACACTCAAACACTCCTCTCTCTCTCTCTCTCTATCCTAAGGTGTGCGCTGACTTGATCGTCGGAGGATTTTTCCGGCCACACACCGCCGGGTAGCTCACCGTTATTTGCTCGTAGGTGACCGATAGAAGCGGGGCTTCGAAGAAAGGAGTACGGGCTTGCCTGAATATTTGCTCCCCACACAATGGTGAACTCAACTCTTTTGTCACATCATTATGGATGATTTTGTGAGTATAATTGCATGAGTCTCTAACAATATACAATAGTATTAATAGGTTTATTTTGAGAAAATAGTTAAAAGTTGATTTTTTAATTTTTTTAAAAAAATTATAAAAAATATGAGAAATAATGTGATTTAAAATAGATTAAAAATTAAAAAATGACTTTTAATTATCTTTCCAAAATAGCCATAAATGAAATGTGAATAAGGCCAAGTTTGGGTACTTTCAAAAAAGTCAAAAAGCTAAAAAGTTACTTAAAAAGTTAAAAAGTTAACACTATTCACCAAAAGCCAACAATTACGGCTGCACAACTCCCAATCATAATTTTTTCCTACAAATCAATTTTTACAATTTTTTAAACAATATACAATAGTATTAATAGGTTTATTTTGAGAAAATAGTTAAAAGTTGATTTTTTAATTTTTTAAAAAAATTTATAAAAAATATGAGAAATAATGTGATTTAAAATAGATTAAAAATTAAAAAATGACTTTTAACTATCTTTCCAAAATAGCCATAAATGAAATGTGAATAAGAATCCCGAAATAAGAATGTTGAATACTTTATGGACAAACAAGGGAATTATCAATCAAACCATGGTGATGGTAAGGTGAACTGTCACACAGCAGATTAAGACTCGCTAACTAAACCATGGTTAAATAGGGAGATCGAGTATCGTACGACTACTCGCTTTTTTCGTGCGTATATGCAACAAACACAGTGTTCATATCTCTCTCTCTCTCTCTCTCTCTCTCTCGTCCTCGCCGGCCACCGGAGTTTTCAGATTCCGGCGACCTCTCGCCTGAAAATACATTATACCTTTATAGAGTCCGAGACTGCTTTGAATCGAATTGTTTCACAAATCGTACGATCTTATGATCATTTCCAATTTTGTGTGCTCTAAGTTGTTGAAAAGTTGCTCTTTTTTTTCCCAACCCAGGCTTGCTTGATCGTGAAAGATCGAACCTTTTTGGTAATGTGTGAGAGAACTTAAGTTTTCGTGTGCTATTCATGGAAGTTATTTTTTGAGTAAAGGAAAAAAAAATAAAATTGAAGTTTTGTTTTTCGATACGTTTGTGAGAAGAAGAATCGACTCGTGATTGTAATGTCGCCTATTTTGGTGTTGTTTTGGTGAGATTTGAATTGAATTTGAGATCACCGCTTGTTTCATTTCTATGTTTAGCAGTTTTTGGATCTTGGAGATTGTTGTGAACAGTCAGTTTCAGTGCATTTGGTGTCAGTTTAGGGCTTTTGCATTGATTGGAATTGAGCTGGGTTTTGTACATTTTTAGCTAAATTGAATCGATCGATGGTGTTGTAGGAGACTAGGGTTTTGTAGGATTGACATGTGCAGGGTAGAGAGAGAGAGGAGTGAGGAGAGGGAGAGGCAGAGGAGGAGGTGGGTTGTGATGGGTTTGAAGACGCTGGGAGAGAGCAGAGTGGAGAGGTTGAAGAGTTCGATGGTTTCGCGGCCTCGTATGAAGCTGTGGATGATCAGAGCAACGACTTCGGTGTTGTTGTGGACTTGTTTTGTGCAGTTGACAGCATTGGGGGAGATGTGGGGACCTAGGGTTTTGAAGGGTTGGCCTTCTTGTTTCTCTCATGATTCGGTTTCTTTGGACCTCAAGTTTTCTCGTGAAGCTCCGGCAAGAGTTCTTCCTCCGAAGAGTGAGTTTCTATATTTGTCATATATATTTTCTTGTTATTTCTTCAGATTGGAGAAACATTTCATGGATTTTTGTTTTTTTGAAAACAATAATTATCTTGTTCAGAAATTAATAAAGACTACATTTTGCTCAAAATTCTAATTATTTTGCTTTGTAATTACAAATTAATCATTATATGTAACTTTCATAGTTGTGAGAATGCTCGGTAGAAGAGCCTTCGTGTTCTGGAAATTACATAACAGAGGTAGTGTTAATTGATGTTTAATAAATTTTGAGGAACACTAATATTGTGTTTGGTTGGGGGATTTGGAGAAGGATTTGGAAAGGGAAATGGAAAAGGTATATGAAATGTGAATAAATCATGCCTATATTTCACATAGTTTCACACACCTTTTTCCTTTATCTTTCCAAATCTCTCCCCAAATCCCTCAACCAAACACACCATAAGGGTTAATGAGAATTTTGTTATTCTAAAATTTGAAATTTCATCAGTTTTTTGGGTTTCGAGAATTTGTACCTAGTTACTTTGTTTTGTAATTACAGCGTAAGACTCTTCTGTAATTTGCAAATATTCACTGGTTTGTTATTCTATAATAGTTAACGCTTCTACATTCTTGGTTTTTTGTGTGCGCGCGTCCAAACAACATTCCAATCCAACTGCTAATCATATATGATTTGATCTGAATTTGTTGTTTTCCTGTTAGGGGTTTATAAGAACAATGGCTACTTGATGGTTTCATGCAATGGCGGGCTTAATCAAATGAGGGCAGCGGTAAGTGGTTTGTTTGGGGGACCAAGCATAGGATTTGTCATCACTTCTGTTTTATCTGAGCACTTAATTACTTTTAGTAGATGTAATGGTTGATTAACTTCATTTCTTCATTCATTTTATAGATTTGTGACATGGTTGCAATTGCAAGATATTTAAACGTCACACTTATAGTTCCCGAGCTGGATAAAACTTCTTTCTGGGCTGATCCCAGGTGTGTAAATTGACAATTCCCTTAATACACATGAAATCACAGAGCGTCATAATTTCTGAAACTCTTTAGCCAATAAATGCTTTTTACTTGATATGACAGTGAGTTTCAAGACATATTTGATGTTGATCATTTCATTACATCCTTGAGAGATGAAGTTCGGATATTGAAAGAGCTACCTCCCAGACTCAAGAGGAGAGTTGAGCTAGGAATGGTCTATAACATGCCACCCATTAGCTGGTCCGACATTTCTTACTATCATAATCAGGTTGGTATTTTATTATTCATGGCGTTAATTTATTTTCCTTCACTGAGACTCCTTTCTAAGTGAGTTTTATATCATTTGTTGCATGCAGATTCTTCCTCTGATACAGAAGTACAAAGTTGTGCATTTGAATAGAACTGATGCTCGGCTTGCCAATAATGGTCAGCCGCTGGAGATTCAGAAGCTGCGCTGCCGAGTTAATTATAGTGCTCTCAGATTCACTTCTCAGATAGAGGAATTGGGTAGAAGGGTTATCAGGCTTCTAAGGCAAAAGGGTCCTTTCCTGGTACTTCATCTCAGGTATGAAATGGACATGTTAGCGTTTTCTGGCTGTACTCAGGGCTGCAACAGGGAGGAGGTAGAGGAGTTGACAAGAATGAGGTCAGTATATATTTCTTTGTGCACTATTTGGTTGTTCAAAAATTAGTTTTCTTGCTCTATCACGCTAACTTGTTTATCTTGGCAGATATGCTTACCCGTGGTGGAAAGAGAAAATTATAAACTCTGACTTGAAGAGGAAAGATGGTTTATGCCCTTTGACACCTGAGGAAACTATGCTTACTCTAAAGGCGCTAGATATTGATCAGAATATGCAGATTTACATTGCAGCCGGAGAAATCTATGGCGGAGAAAGGAGAATGGCTAGTCTTGCAACAGCTTATCCAAAATTGGTCAGTAAATGAAGCTGAAGACGACTCCTCAAGCTTTGTCACTTGATTTTCCATTTTTGTGTCTTTAGCAATTGCTTTTGGATCTGTTGTGACAGGTGAGGAAGGAGACACTGTTGGGGCCATCAGACCTTAGGTTTTTCCAGAATCACTCGTCCCAGATGGCAGCATTGGATTATCTTGTTGCTCTGGAAAGTGATATTTTTGTTCCTACATATGACGGAAACATGGCCAAAGTTGTTGAAGGCCACCGCAGGTACTGTTGCTTGTCAATTATTTTCTTAATTACCCATATCAAATGATATAAAGTCAGTTGATTATCCTACTAGCTAAGTTTAGTAAAATGAAATAGCCTACTTAGCTTTTTTTGGTAAAAAGGAATTTGGAATTAAAACTTATTTTTTGTCTCCTTATTCCCGTAGACTTTTTCAGAAGTTAATAAAGTATGTAACGCCAACCTCAAACCAAGTAGTGAAAAGGCATTTTGGAATTGAACATTAGACTTCTAGTCTCCTTATTCCCATAGACTTTTTCAAAAGTTGATAAAGTATGTAACGCCAACCTCAAAGCAAGTAGTATCTCTTTATATCACTCTGAAACGTTTACTATTGAGCTTTTTTTGGGTTGTAGGTCAATTTATATCACTCTCAAGCCAAGTAGAATTTCTAAGTCATGTCATTGTCAAACTCTTACTGGTGAACTTCAATTTAGGCTAAGTTTAGTTCATTTGGTAGGTAGATTGTCTGATAAACTTGGGAAGGTTTGTTGTGTTGGTTAAAGAGCGTAAATTCCGGCCTTGTTTGGTTTGTGTTTCCCAAAAAATTTTGGGAAAAATTCTCTACAAATAAGTTTTCAAAAGTAATCAAACCAAACAAATTTTTCCAAAACTTATTTGGTTTACAAGTTTTCCAAACAAATCTCTCTCTTATACACATCAAATCAATCACTTTTTTCAAAACTCTCTCAAAATAATTTTTCAAAATATCTTTTGAAAAAAACTAAACCAAACAACTTTTCGTACTTTTTATCTCTAAAACTCATCTCCCAAAACTCAAACCAAACATATCCATTTTTTGGGTTCTGTTTCTGTTGGTTTCTTCTAGTATTCTGTTTCTGTTCATTTACATAAGAGAATTTGATCTGAATTGAGAGTTAGCTTTGTGTTGCGATGCTTTTCAGATACCTTGGGTTCAAGAAGACAATTCTATTGGAAAGAGGACTTCTAGTTGATCTGATAGACCGATATAATGGTGGATCACTGAGTTGGGATGAATTCTCATCTGCTGTTAAGGAAGCTCATGCAGATCGCATGGGAAACCCTACTAGAAGGGTAGTGATTCCTGACAGACCTAAAGAGGAGGATTATTTCTATGCCAACCCCGAGGAGTGTTTGCAACAATCATCTGAACTGTTGAATACTACATGAACTTTTTGGAGGTTGGTTGCATTTTATCAATATCCTCCTGATTTTAGGCATAGTAGTCCTAAACACAGAGATATATGGCACCAAAGGATTTTGTTTTGAGGCATCAAGCTTGAAGGTGTTGGTGCGTGGTTTGTTTAGACAGAAATTGAGAATGAGAGAGAGAGTGCAGGTGAGAGAGTACATTACTTTATATCTTTATATATTCCAATAATTTGATTCATGTATAGAAGCTACCCTGCCATTGCAGGGTGATTGATATAGACTCGACTGCAGTGTACACAGAGGGTTGCAAATATAGGTTTGGTTTACTGGGAAAGTGGAATCGTGGAATGCTTAATCCATTCCCCTTCCATTTCATGTTTTTGCTATTTCAGATCATCCACCATCTCAAGGATTCCTATTAGCATATATTGCATAAATTTCTATTTTCCAGCCATTGCCTGTCTTGTTTCATAGTTGACTTTATTTGGGCCGGAATTCGGACTGTTCCGAGCCATGAAAAGTATTGACTTTCTTCTTGTTTATTTAAGGTATTATATGAGAGTTATTGTGAAATGCAAACATGGAAAAATAGAAAAAGGAAAAAAGAGGGGGTCCAATGGAATTTGGTTTGGTGTGTTTTCCATCACTTGATCTGAGGACTTTTTCTTCATATGTTGGCTTTGCCAGAGAATGTTTTGTACAGCAAATGAGTATTATTATTATTATTATAAGTTTGGTTGGCCTACCTACCAAAGAAGCAAAGTAAAAGCATGTTTATGTACCTATTGGCATTGGGAGATATATTCCATGTTCCACCAAATCAAATACTAGGGGCTTCAATCAGTTGGTTGTGTGATAAGTTAAGCTATGGACATGACATGTTTATTAAAGCTTATTTATTTATTCATTTGTGTGTTGAATATGGTAACTATCAAAATTCCAATGATTGTGTTGATTCTTCAAAGTTAATCTTTAACAATAAAGTGGAAGAGGTCCACTTGATGAATATGCCTAAATGGGTTGCATAAAATGGAAATATTTGAGTATTATGGGTTGTCACATCATATCTTCCTATTATATTTTTGTTTTTAGCATTTGACAAGTTGTATTCAATATAGGGTGGCTTGTGCTAGCCAGGCTTGTGGATGGGCCTTGCACGCGCAGAGTCAGACGGTCAGTATCATGTTTTAAATATTAATCATATGGTCATATATAATAGTAAATATTAATATCGTAAAAGTAAAATTTTGATATGGAATAATTAATATTTAAAATCTTGGTCAATGTGGAATATGCGGTGTAGCATGGATTGTGAATATCGGATATAAAGGTTGTCGATTTAATTCTTTAGAAATTAATTTTAATTACATTAGGGGTGAAAAGTTGACAAGTTTTGTAAAATTTGGTTTTTCTTTTTACCTGCCAACCTCTCTCCTCTCTCATTCTCTTCCTTTTGTTGTGTTGGTTAAAGAGCGTAAATTCCGGCCAATCGGTCTCTAGCTCCTCGCTACTGCTCCAATCGTTGGCCACCTTCCCTCACCCACCCTGCCACCGCTTATCCCCCGCTATTACCATTGCCACACCTAGTCATTAGCCGCCCTCTCTCTCCCTAGCCCTACTGCTGCCAATCTTATTCCCACCAGCTACAGATTGGATTCGTCTACCAACTTCCAACTCCCTTCCCTGTTGTGATTAATGCCACCCCCAGCCCACCCTTATCTCAACCTACTTTCCTTGGTCACCAATCGCAACACCCAACTCTCCTCCACCTTAGCCCCCTCTTCCCTACTGCATTCTCGACCTCACGGTTCAAAAGATGCAATCCATGTATAACCTATTTATAGATTTAAGCTGTTGAAGTTTGGCTCAGATTTGTTGTCAACAATGACTGCTTTGTTTGCTTTGTCAACAAAGGCTGCTGATTGAAGGGCTTGGTTCTCCCATTGCATCTATAAATAGGTAGTAAATTGGAGGAATTCAGTGTGGTGAGTTGAAGAGAGAATATAGAGCAGAGAGAGAGAATTATAGAGTGTGTAATTCTTTGTTCTGCATTTAGTGAAATTCGCTGCCTGTGGACGTAGATGACTTGCTGAACCACGTAATTCTTTATGTGTTCTTGCTTGTGTGTTTGTGTGTGATTGTTTTCTGCCTCATAGGCACAACAAATTGGTATCAGAACATTATTGTGCAAAAAACAGAGTGTTTTTCTATAAATTAAAAATTTCGAAATTCTCGAAATCGAGTTTTCAGCATACCACGACGATTGCCTTGATGAGAGGAGTTCAGACCTAGAAAGACCAACCCACGAGGACACTTCACGAGCCCTTATGCACTTGCCAAAGTTCTGCCGGAGACTTGCCGGAAGAAGCAAAGGTTGAAGGAGGCAACCTGTCCTAAAGGCTTTAAGTATTCACTTGTGCACTAAAATAGCACAAGTTCATATGGTAGAGTGGTTAGAGCCTTTGGTATGAAGCATTGAGGTTAAGGGTTCAAAACTCTCTCCAAACAAATTTCCAATTTATTTTTAGAAGCTGCCACGTCGTTGTCATGTCACTGCTAGCTCAACTGCCACGTTATTGACACATCAACGCACTTGACACGTCAGCGTCCCACCCAGCACTAACACGTCAACGCCAGCCCAATGGCCACGTTAGCACATCTGCCACGTCATCAGACCAGTCAGCCGAAATTTCTGATATTACAAGGAGGCCCCTGAAAGTTTGGTAAATTGCATTTCAGTCCCTAATCTTGCTGAAATTTCAATTTAGCCCCTATAACTTCTATTAATTGTAGTAAGATCCCCAGAGTTTTGGGAAATTACAATTTGGCCCCTGGATTTGGAGAAATTTTATTAAGGTCCCTGGAGAGGTGGAGAAAGTGCTTTCCTAACTAAATCAACCATTCCGGACACAACTGCGGATTCCGTTTTTTAAGATTCGGACCCGAATTTGTTTCGGGCATTTCAAGCGTCCGTTATTGTTTGTGGTGGAGATTATTAAATAGTCTCAGAGGCAGAATCAACGGAGATGAGATCAACTGAGTCCATAAGTAACCCAGCAACTACAAGCAACTCTAGGCATTGGATCCCGGTGTCCTATGCTAAGTTCGAGGTAGAAAAGTTTGATGGAAGCAGCAACTTTGGCATGTGGAGATGCGAAGTTAAAGATATGCTTGTCCAGATAAACCTGCACTTCACTCTGGGAGACAAACAAGATGACCTGGACGGGATAGAATGGGAGAAAGTGAATCTTCTGGCCTGCAGTTCCATCCGACTTTGCCTTGCAAAAGAAGAAAAGTATGCCTTCACAGAATATGATATTGCGAAAGACCTTTGGAAGGCGCTGGAAGACAAGTTCATGACAAAGAGCATTGAGAATCGGCTCTACTTGAAGAAGAGGTTGTTTCGTTTCGACTATAAGAAAGGTATTTCGATGAACGAACACCTAAACAATTTCAACAAAATTCTTATTGATTTGAAAAACTTGGATGATCACATTGATGATGAAGATAAAGCACTGTTACTGTTGAATTCCTTGCCTGACACATATGATCATCTCACCACCATTTTACTGTATGGTAAAGAAAAGATTAAGTATGTTGATGTTGCAAACGCCTTGGTAAATAATGAGTTCAGAAGGAAAGATAAATCTGCAAACAGGGACTCAATATCCGAGGCATTGACAGTCAGAGGCAGGGCAAATAACAAAAGATATACAGGGCGAGGAAAGTCTCGCTCAAAATCCAGAGGGAAATCATCAGATAGAAGACGTCTTGCAAAAGACAAGTGTGCTGCTTGTCACCAGAAGGGGCATTGGGCAAAGATTGTTCCAATAAAGACAAGAAAGAATAAAATGTGAACGTTGCACGAGATGGAGATAATGGTGAAGGATCAGCCTTCACAGTTTCATCATATGGCCAGTCTGATGAATGGATTCTAGATTCCGGATGTTCCTACCACATGTGTCCTAACAAGTAGTGGTTCTCAAGCTTACGCGAGTTCGACGGAGGAGTTGTGTTGATGGGCAACGACCAAGCTTGTAGAACAAAGGGGATTGGAACAATTCGACTGAAGATGCATGATAGAACAATTAGAATTCTCGAAGATGTTCGGTACGTACCAAATTTGACGAAGAATCTCATCTGAGTGGGAGTTTTGGATTCCAAAGGTTACAGAGTAACTGTGGAAGGTAGAGTCCTCAAAGTTGTTCGAGGAGCATTTGTTGCAATGAAGGGTATTCGAAAGGGAAATTTATATTTCCTAGACGGCTCTACAATCACAGGGAGAGTGGATGTCTCCACCAGCTCAGAGGATGATGCATCAGACACTTCCAGACGTTGGCACATGCGCTTAGGGCATACTGGAGAAAAGGCTTTACAAGGGTTGGTAAAGCAAGGCCTGTTAAAAGGCCCCAAAACAGGGAAACTTGAGTTCTGCGAGCATTGTGTACTGGGCAAGCAAACAAGAATCAAGTTTGGTACTGCTATTCATCGCACCAAAAGGATTCTAGACTAAGTTCACACCGATGTATGGGGTCCTTCCAAGAATGCTTCTTTGGGAGGTAAATATTACTTTGTGTCATTCATTGATGATTTCTCAAGGAGAGTTTGGGTTTACACAATGAAGCATAAAGATGAGGTATTAGACATCTTTCTTATATAGAAGAAAATGATTGAGACCCAGACAGACAGAAAGATTAAGAAGCTCAGATCTGACAATGGCGGCGAATACACATCAGATCCCTTCTTTGAGGTTTGCCAAAATGAAGGGATAATGAGACATTTCACAGTTAGTGGAACGCCACAGCAAAATGGAGTTGCAGAACGCATGAACCGCACTTTGGTGGAGAAAGTCCGGTGTACGCTGTCACATTTTGGATTGAGCAAGGCATTTTGGGGCCAGGCATTGAACTATGCTTGTCATCTTGTTAACCGACTACCTACTACAACACTTGATGGCAAGCCTCCCATGGAGGTATGATTAGGAGCGCCGGCTACTGATTATGATCAGCTACGTATTTTTAAATGTCCAGCTTATTTTCATGTTATAGAATCCAGGTTGGATCCTAGAGCCTATCTTCTTGGGCTTCAGTGACGATGTCAAGGGATATAGACTCTGGTGCCCTAAGTCAAATAAAGTTGTTACTAGAAGAGACGTTACCTTTGAGGAGTCTACAATGTTGACACAGCTAAATCCTTAACAGAATGAAGAAGCATTGAAGAAATCAGTGCATGTGGAGTTTGAGACTCTAGCGAAGACTGTTCAGACAGACAACAATCCTGAAGAAGTTCAATTGATAGCTCTGAAGAAGACTCTGAAGAGAGTTCAGATGAAAATGAAGATCCAGAGGCCCCACAACAGTCAGAACCCATTGCAATCAGAAAAGGAAAAAGAGTTACTAAGAAACCCAATTGGATGACCGATATGATGGCCTATGCACTTCCAATCATTGAAGATAATATTCCTTGCACTTTCAAAGAAGCTGTGCAGAATCCAGAAAGTGTCAAATGGAAGGAGGCTATGGATGAAGAGATCGGGTCACTTCACAAGAACCAGACTTGGGAGTTGGTGCAACTTCCAAAAGGTAATAAAGCAATTGGGTGTAAGTGGGTTTATACTAAGAAGGAAGGCATCCCAGGCAGAGACAACATCAGATTCAAAGCTAGAGTAGTAGCTAAAGGCTATGCTCAGAAGGAAGGAATAGAATATAAGGAGGTATTCTCACCTGTTGTGAAGCACACGTCTATTCGTATCTGGTTAGCTTTGGTTGCACAGTGTGATCTCGAGCTCACCCAACTCGATGTCAAAACTGCCTTCTTACATGGAGATCTTGAAGAAGAGATATACATGTCCCAGCCAAATGGTTTCAAAGTTGCTGGAAAAGAGGATTGGGCTTGCAAATTAAAGAAATCGTTGTACGGGTTGAAGCAATCCCCAAGACAGTGGTACAAGCGATTTGATCGGTTCATGACGGAAAAGAAATACACAAGAAGCTAGTATGGTCATTGTGTATATTTCCGTAAGCTTTCCGACCGTTCCTTCATCTATTTGCTCTTATATGTAAATGATATGCTGATTGCATCTAAGAGCAAGGTGGAGATTGATAAACTCAAGGCACAGTTGGCAGGAGAGTTTGAAATGAAGGATCTTGGTGAAGCAAAGAAAATTCTTGGCATGGTGATCAAAAGTGATAGGAAGAAGGGCACGGTTTGTCTGACACAAACCCAGTACCTGAAAAAGGTGTTAGACAGATTTGGCATAAATGGGAAAACAAAAGCTGTGAGTACACCATTGGCCTCTTATTTCAAGCTTAGTGCTTCAATGTCTCCACGCACAGAAGAAGAACGAAAGCATATGGCACAGGTTCCATATGCAAATGCAGTTGGTGCATTAATATATGCTATGGTTTGTACAAGGCCTGATATCTCACATGTTATGAGTATGGTAAGCAGGTATATGCATGATCCGAGGAAAGGTCACTGGCAGGCAGTGAAATGAATCTTAAGGTACTTACATGGCACAGTTAAAATGGGTTTAAAGTTTGAGAGAGATCATAGACTCGGACAGAATCTGGTTGGATATGTGGACTCAGATTATGCTAGTGACTTGGACAAACGCCGGTCAACAACAGGGTATTTATTTACGCTTGCTAAAGGGCCGGTGAGTTGGAGGTCAACGCTTTAGTCAACGATGGCTTTGTCTACTACAGAGGCAGAGTATATGGCAGTGACAGAAGTCTTTAAGGAAGCTATTTGGCTACATGGGTTAATTGAGGACTTGGGTATTATTCAGAAGCACGTTGAGGTGTACTGCGATAGTCAGAGTGCCATTTGTTTGGCTACATGGTTAATTGATGTCCGTTTCCATTTCGTTCGAGAAATTGTGAATGAAGGGGATATTCTGCTTCAAAAGATTAGCACTGCAGATAATCCGGCCGATATGCTCACAAAAGTGGTTTTGGGGATCAAGTTCCAACACTGTTTGGACTTGGTCAACATCTCTCGGAATTGAGCACCTTCGGGTGAATGGCAGTGTTGATCAATCACTATGTTGGATAGAGAATCCTCCCCAAGGTGGAGATTTGTTGAAGATTCGCTCAAATTTGCTGTCAACAATGGTTGTTGTCAACAATGGCTGCTTTGTTTGCTTTGTCAACAAATGCTGCTGATTGAAGAGCTTGGTTCTCCCATTGCATCTATAAATAGGTAGTGAATTGGAGGAATTCAGTGTGGTGAGTTGAAGAGAGAATACAGAGCAGAGAGAGAGAATTATAGAGTGTGTAATTATCTGTTCTACATATAGTGAAATCCGCTGCCCGTGGACGTAGGCGACTTGCCAAACCACGTAATTCTTTGTGTGTTCTTGCTTGTGTGCTTGTGTGTGATTGTTTTCTGCCTCCTAGGCACAACATAAACAAATTTCAAATAAATTTTTAGATGGATTCACAATTTCAAATTAAGTTTGGCACCACTACTTAAAACATGGCATTCATTCAATGGTTACTCCCCTTGGGTTAACCCTTGGACTACATTTTCCTGAGAGGAATTTCTTTGTTTTTGCTTGGGCATAGTAACCATGCATGACCTTTATAGACAAAACCCGTTTCTTTTATTTTGTAGTTATCTTCTAATAACTTTATTTAAGTGAACTTTGACAGATTCTAGGGATTTCATGCATCAGCCTAGAGAACTTATCCATTTAGATTGTTTCATTCTTTAATTAATTTGGATGATGCAAAGAAGAAGTCTAGAGTATTTGGCTCTACATATAATTAATTAGATAAGTACTCGAATTAGATCATATATGCACTTCTAGAATATAAAAAAATAAATAAATAAATAAATAAACTATTTTATGGGAAAAAAATAAAATAAAATATTCAACAGTTGCTTTCGAACCACATCACAGTCGGCCAAAATGTGGTGAGTCGATGTTAAAGACTTTTTTATTGCATGAAAGATTACATCACACACTTCCAAAGTAGTGGACACCCATATGTATCTCTCTATTCATATCAGTAGTTTAAAAAAAGAAGAAGAAGAAGGAATTTGAGCAGTTGATCGTGTGTGTCTCATATATAAAAGAGTAAATTACACTTTCTCATATTTATAATTGGACTTAATTTTATTTTGTTTCTTATTATTTCAAATTAAATATTTTGGCTATTGTAATTTAAGTCTAGTTTTATCTTAATCATCCCGTCCAAAACCTTAGGAGATTGGTAAACGTCTCAAAATCTTTAATTTTAACATTTAACTTGAACGAAGGGCCCAAATTGATACTAAATTTAAAATATTAGGATCTAAATGTTCTATTGGAAACAACAAAGGTCAAATTATCAATTTGAAACAAGCTGATGTTGAAGAATTAGCAGATGAGTTGTGGTTAGGGGTGAAATGTCATTCGAACGAAGAGTTAGTTGGTTCTCCAACAATCATTAGCTCTTCTTGAAAATGAGATGATTCTATCGTGATCTTGTGGCACCTTCTAGTATAGCTACCTTGTTACGACTACTTCACTCCGATCACTAGCTCTGCCTTCGACATCCCCCCTCTTTGCGAAAGAGCTAGTATAAGAGATGAAAATCTTATATATGGTCTGAAGTGAAGATTCTTTAACTCAAATGATGATCGTAACAGATATCAGCATCCTAACATGAGCGAATTTGGTCAGAGATGAAAAGATATAATTCGCCATGTGTAAAATTACTTCGGGTCATATTAGAAACACAACACTTCATAATGAGCACCATTTTAATATTGTACAACTAAGACCGACACTAGAACAAAATGTACTTTTGGCGACTAAAAATAATATTAGTCGGCAAAAGTCAAATATTTAGTTACTAATTTTTTTTAGTCGGGGAATATTGATTATTGGCGACTAAAAAAAAATTTAGTAGCTAAAAATATTACAATTGGCGAATAAAAAAAAATTTAATAGCCGTATAGCTAGTTTTGGCTACTAAAATTGTTTAGTAGCCAAATGAAAAGAAAAAAGTTATTTTTTATCTTTGGCAACCAAAATTTTGGTCGCCAAAAGTATATTTTCAGCGACAAAAGAATATTTTAGTAGCCTTATAGTTAGTTTTAGCTACTAAAATTGTTCAGTAGCTGAATGAAAAGAAAAAAAATATTTTTTATCTTCGGCAACCAAAAGTTTGGTCGCCAAAAGTATATTTTCAGCGACAAAAGAATATTTTAGTAGTCGTATAGTTAGTTTTAGCTACTAAAATTGTTTAGTAGCCAAATGAAAAGATAAAAAAAATTATTTTTTTATCTTTGGCGACCAAAAGTTTGGTCGCCAAAAGAATATTTTCAGCGACAAAAAAATATTTTAGTTGCCAAAAAACTAAAATATTTGGAGGGAGATTTCGAATTTTGGAGGGATTAAAAAAGTAATTAGCGACTAAACGCGAATTGTTATTAATTATATATGTATTTTGTTTCCAACCCAAACCGTAACAAACCAGCAACTCTATTTACATTTTTATTTATTTATAGAAAATCATTAAT